GGGCCTAGGGGGCCGAGGGGCCAAAGTAGGGGCCGGGGGGCCGGGCGCCAGGCTCTGAGGTGGGGCCGAGGGGCCTAGGGGCCGCGGGGCCAAACAAGGGGCCTGGGGGGCCTTAGGGGGGGCGAGGGGCCTAGGGGGCCGAGGGGCCAAACAAGGGGCCTTGGGGGCCGAAGGGCCAAAGTAGGGGCCGGGGGGCCTAGGGGGCCGAGGGGCCAAAGTAGGGGCCGGGGGGCCGGGCGCCAGGCTCTGAGGTGGGGCCGAGAGGCCTAGGGGCCGCGGGGCCAAACAAGGGGCCTGGGGGGCCTTAGGGGGGCCGAGGGGCCTAGGGGGCCGAGGGGCCGAGGGGCCTAGGGGCCGCGGGGCCAAACAAGGGGCCGGGGGGGGCCTTAGGGGGGCCGAGGGGCCTAGGGGGCCGAGGGGCCAAACAAGGGGGGGCTAGGGGGCCAAGGGGCCAAAGTAGGGGCCGGGGGGGGGCCTTGGGGGGGCCGAGGGGCCTAGGGGCCGCGGGGCCAAACAAGGGGCTGAGGGGCCAAGGGGGCCGAGGGGCCAAACAGGTACAGGGCTGGGCACGAGGCTAGGTATGGGCCGAGCGACGGGCTAGGTACAGGCCGGGCGACGGGCTAGGTACGGGCCGGGCGCAGGCAGGAGACGAGGCCGGGCGCGGGCTAGGTACGGGCCGGGCGACGGGGTAGGTACGTGCCGGGCGCGGGCGTCGAAGTTGACGGGGCCAGCTGGGCTGAGGCGACGGGCTAGGTACGGGCCGGGCGACTGGCTTCGAAGTTGACGGGGCCAGCGGGGCCGAGGCGACGGGCTAGGTACGGGCCGGGCGACGGGTTAGGTACGGGCCGGGCGACGGGCTAGGTACTGGCCGGGCGACGGGCTAGGTACGGGCCTGGCGCGGGCGAGGAAGTTGACGGGGCCAGTGGGGCCGAGGTGACGGGCTACGTACGGGCCGGGCGACGGGCTAGGTACGAGCCGGGCGACAAGCTAGGTACGGGCCGGGCGCGGGCGACGAAGACGACGGGGCCAGCGGGGCCGAGGCGACGGGCTACGTACGGGCCTGGCGACGAGCTAGGTACGGGCCGGGCGCGGGCGACAAAGTCGACGGGGCCAGCGGGGCCGAGGCGACGAGCTAGGTACGGGCCGGGCGACGGGCTAGGTACGGGCCGGGCGCGGGCGACAAAGTCGACGGGCTAGGTACGGGTAGTGCAGTAGGTGGTGGGCCCATTGAGACTAGGTCCTAAGACTTAGTTGCTCTTAATACCATGTTAGAATCTTAGGTGAGAATGATGGACTAGGAAGCAAGGAAGGGTACAAGTAGAATGTCGAGAGAATTCTGTACCCCCTAAGGCTAAACCCACTATAGCCTAGACAAATGTAAACACATGAACTAAGCCTAGATATAACTAAGCATATATGTTTGACAGTGCGTGCCAGATGTCTTCGCTAGCGCGATGTCCGGGTGAGCGACGATACAAGTCGGAGTTGGAGTAGAAGCTTGCGGTGAAGTTTGCACTTCGATGTACTTCGCGTGATTTTGGGTGAAGCTGTTGCGCAGGAGTCGGTGGAGTGTCGTCGATTTGAGGTGATGCAGTTGAAGGACCAGCGATTGGTGTCGATGTTGCTGCTGCTGCTACTGCTGTTGTTTCTGCTGCTGCCGATGTTGTTTTTGCTGCTGCCGATGTTGTCTTTGCTGCTGCCGAGTGTTGAATTGTTGCTAATGCTCTTGTTCGTTCTGCTTCAGGGATGGTGTGCGAGTACCAAAAGCCTTCTGGACTAAAGTTGGGGTCAAGATCCGGTGGATGTGTCCAAGAGGTGAAGGTGAAGATCCTGTCGCTGTCAGCGGTGCCAAGATCTGGGACGAAGTCGAGGACGAAGACGTTGTTTTTCAGGACCGCCTTCCCGATGTAGAGACCACCTTTTCCGTGGTATAATTTGAACTCCTGAGTGGTACTATTTGCTTCGAGGTGGATGCCCTTCGCCATCAGTTGACTGACACTCAGTAAGTTGTAACCGAGTCCTTCTGCTATTAAAACCTTTGACACCTGTAGTATGACGTTTGTCTCTCGTGACTGAAGTTGCACTACGCCTTGTCGTCGTGTGCGCAGGTTCTGATTGTTGGCGACGGTGATGACAACCTCGCGTTGAAGTTGGTGTTCACGTTGAACAAAACGTCCTGAAGAGCACATATGTTGTCCACAGCAGCTGTCCAAGAACCACGTATCTTTTCCAGACGGTTCGCTTTGAGCGATGGCTGCATAAGTCGAATTTGGTTGAAGTGACTCGCGGCGAGACGTGCTGTTGTCGAGTTGTTCTTCCGGTGAGTAATATGGTGGTGACTCTGTGATGCAGGAATCGGTCAGCCGTGTCATGCAACTGACGATGTTTCTTGTTCCTTGCGCAGGTTGTCCCGTCGATGTTGTTGAAGCTTGTACTTGAGAGGTTGAATTCGCTTGCGTTGAGGCAACTTGACTGCTTGAAGGCCAAAGCTGCCGCTGCGTTGGTACTGACTGTTGTCGGTTAGGGCACTGTGTGCGAGGATGCCCTGACATCTTGCAAAGGTGACAGAACGGAGGTACTGGTTTCGGTTGATGCCGGTAGTTGTTGTTGTTGTAGCGCCGTTGAGTGTGGAATGCGAATTCGGGCACTGATGTCTTCCTTTTGTGTCGTTCTTCTTGCAGGTCCATATCTTGCTGCTCAGCGTGGATTTCGGCGCAGAGTGCTGCTTCTGATATCTTTCCATGCGCTCGGAGTATGGCGCGGGTGGAGCGCCACTGAGGACCGAGGCCGCCGATGATGACTGTGACGAAGGCGTCTTCTGAAATCGACCCTCCGCATCGAAGGAGTTTGTCGCGCAATTCGCGACAACGGCTGATATACGCCATCCCCTTTTCGCCTGGTTTCATTTCGACTGTCGTCAGTTGCGCCATTAACCGACTTTGATTTACGCTGTCTGTTGCTTGATACAGGTTCTTCAAGTGGTTGTACGCGAGCTCTGCAGAGTTGCCGTATCCCCGGTAAGACCGTATATTCTGCTGCTGATTCGGAGTGATATTTCTCAGTAGTATTGTGTATGCCATCATTGACTGATACGTGTACTGCTGCTTATCGTACTGTGTGCCGTGTGTTGGATATGGCAGGGACCCGTCGAAGAAGCCAATGATCTGCGCGCCTTCCATCATTAGCTCGAACTCGAATTACCAGGTAAAGAAGTCCTTTCCGTCGAAAGGCCTCGTCGTTTGTAGTTTTAAGACGTGCGCGAACTGCGACTGAACTTGAAGTGCGTCCAATGTCTTTTCTTGTCCAGATGCGGGCTGCGGGTGTGGCATAAAGCTGACGGAGCCACGCTGGGGCTCGTACGGAGCAAAGGTAGGCCGTTGCTGTTGATTTCCACGTGCGTAGGATGAACCGTCAAGGCTCATCGGTGTTGCGTTGTTGTTGCTGTTGTTTGACTGTGCAGGTGCCCCTTGCTGGTGTTGTTCGTAGAAGGACATGAAGGAGAAGAACTTCTCCATCATGTCTGGATCGAAGGCCGCGACTTGATTTGCTGGAGTTTCTGAAGATGTTGCTCTTGGCCTTGTTGCCGTACCCTCCTCTATCTGTAGGCCAGAGGCAGGAGGTGGAGTAGGAGTAGTGCCGGGAGAGCCGTTAGAGGAGCTTCTCTCCTTCTGCGTTGCCATGTCTTGTGATGTTGTAGGTGTTTTGGTTGTAGTTGAATTTGTCCTGACTGCTCTCATACCATGGTGGGCTGAGAAAAGCCCTTAGGATCTTTGCAGGACAGAATTCAAGGGTAGGATAATGTAATAGCGGAAGCGTTTAATAAAAGGATTGTGAACCACCTTGCGCTGGTATGTGAGGGCAAAGTTGATTGATTAAAGCAAAGAGATACAAGCTTTTATAAGGATACAAGGAATATGAAGAGATACGGTTAATAACCGTTTTACTGTTGCTGTTGCGGTTCGATACAGTGTCGACTCGGGCAACTGCTCAGTAGCGAGTCAGTTGTTTGTCCTTGCTGTCGCGCTGTACTTGTCAGGTCAAAGGTTGCTGACCTTTGACTTTCGCGTAACCTCCAGCAGTTGTTCAACCTCCGAGGGTTGACTCGCTGATGTTTCGATATGATCTGCTTCGCTTCTGTCTTGGTGTTTCGACACGACAGAGGCGCTTTAAATCAATTGTTTCCAACAGAAACAACATTTAATAAATCAGGGTCGATAAATGGAGACTTCTGTAAAGAAGTTGGGTGCTGCTAACATGGCTTATTAACCTGATGCAGAGCGACCATCTCGTGCCATGCCACAACTTCATTCCTTCAACTAACTACGACTAAGATGGAAACGCTATACTGGAACGACAATACCGGTTTGGCACCTCGCTCCAAAGTCAAACACTGCAATGAAGCCACGATCCATACTCGAGGAGGCATTCAAGTGTTCTTGGAACAACGTAGCTTCTGGTGTGAAGCCCAGTACCCCGACTGGCACTTGCACATGGGTACATATGCCTGTGTGTTCAGCAACTTGTCAACGTCCAACACGCACACACCCTTGCCGCTGCACGCCCCTGTGACCGTGGCCGTCCCACAGAACTTGTTGCACTCCTGCGTGCTCTTCTGGCCAGCGGTACCCCCGCACTTGGAGGGCACGGAGGAGAGGCAGTTGCCCGTGATGGAGAAGTCGTCTGAGCAGGGCAGGGAGGAGGCTGAGCCGGAGAAATAGTTGTCAGCCGCGTTGACTTTCTTGACCCGCTGTAAGAAGGCCGGGATGGAACCTGAGAGGTAGTTCCCCGAGAGATCACTGGAGGGGCGGGGAGGGGAGTGGAGGAGTGTTGGAAAGGAGCAGGTGAGGAAAAGAATGAGAGAAGGCAGATAGATGGGAGGGATGCAAAGAGGCAAGTGAGCACAAGGGCAGGGAATGTAAAAGAGTTGGAAAGATAAGCACCAGAGGGAAAGAAGTGAGCAGGCAGGCAAAGCTGGTTGACAAAGAAACTGAGAGGTGTACATGAGGGTAAGCTGCTTGAGGGCGCTCAGATCAGGCAGGGGGCCATAGTACCATCCGTTGTTGAGGTACCTGCAGCCATGGAGTCATGGATGGGTGTAGCGAGGCATGGGAGTGGTTGGGTACGGTGAGGATAAGGAGCAGATGGGTGAACGTGCAGTATACAGTGGTAGCAATAGGTGACTAGGGTGGTAGCAGACAAGGCTAGCCCACCCTCTCTCCCACCCCACAGTCCATTCCCCCTCCCCTCCCCTTGCCCTCCACCTGTCTCCTTCCTGCCCATCCCCTGTCCCCCCCCTGTCAACCCCCAGCCTCACAGCTCTCTGAGCTTCACTAGCCCTCCAAGCGCCTTGGGCACCTCCCCATGCAGCCGCGTGTCGGACAGGGAGCTGGGGGGAGGGGGGGCGGGGGGGGGAAGAGGAGAAAAGGGGAGGTGAGTGAGAGTAGGAGGTGAGAGCCTTGGGCACCTCCTCATACAGCCGCTTGTCGGACAGAGAGCTGCTGAGGAGGGGGTATGTAGGTGGGAGGTAAGTGGGTAGGGGGCCAGTCTGCTGACTTGAGTCGACTCAAAAGTGGGTAGGGGGCCAGTCCGCTGAGCGCCTTGGGCACCTCACCGAACAGCCGCGTGTCGGACAGGGAGCTGGAGGGGGGAGAGGGGAGGGGGAGCGGGGGGGTTGGTAGAGGATTGATTTGATTGGAAGAGGGGGGAAGTCCGCTGAGCGCCTTGGCCACCTCCCGGTGCTGACGGGTGTCGGACAGAGAGCTTTGGGGAGGGGGGAAGGAGGGGAGGGGGAAGGAGGGGAGGGGGAAGAGGGGGGAGGTAAGTGGGTGGTAACAGGGCAGTAACAGCCACGTGTCGGACAGGGAGCTGCACAGGATGTGAACGAGGTAGGGGAACGACCGAGTATGTGGGGGAAGAGGGAAGGGGAAGAGGTGGAGGGAAGTAAAGAGATGGTAAGAGGGCGGTGAGAGGGCGGTGGGAGGAAGGTGAGAGGGCAGAGAGTGAGCTTACAGGTATGTGAGTTGGTCAAGTGTGCCCAGGAACGTTGGAATCTCGCCCTCAAATGCAGTCTCCATCAGACCGCTGGCAGAAAAGTACGGGATGAGGAGGAAAGAAGGGGAGAGAGGGGAAGGGAAGGAAGAGAATGCGAGACGAGAATCAAGACACAGGGCATGCCCGGGAACGTTGGGATCTCGCCCACAAAAGGGGTCTCCATGAGACCACTGGCAGGGCAGTATGGGGTGAGGAGGAAAGAGAAGAGGAGAAAGGGGAGAGGAGAGTTGGGACATGGCATGGAGCGTTGAAAAGCTTGTGAGCTTGTAAAATGCTGAGGTGACATGGTTGGAATGATGCAGGCCTTGCTTCTTGAAGACCTGGTTACCATTCACTTCAGAGAGTCAGCTCACAGGTAATTGAGCTTCTTGAGTTGCGACAGGGCCTTGGGAATGGCGCCCTCCCAGTAGTTCTTGCTCACGGTGCTGTGAGGGGTAGAGAGAGGAGAATTTGGAGTGAGTGAGAGTGTGAAAGGGTGTGTGTGTGTGTGTGTGTGTGAGAGAGAGAGAGAGAGAGAGAGAGAGAGAAAGAGAGAGAGAGAGTGCTGAACAAGAGGGAGCATTAGTAGCGAGCACCCACACCTCCTCACGCTGAATTCACAAATCTCTCACCGAACTCTCGCAGAACTTTCAAACTTACAGGCGCTCCAGGTTGGTGAAAGAGCCAATGAAATTCGGTAACGGCCCGCTGAAGCGGTTGTTGCGCAGATAGCTGGGGGGGAGGGGGGTGGGGTGGGAGGGAAGATGAGAGGGTAGGGGGCAGACAGCAGGAGGGAGGAAGGATGGGGTGGGGATGAGATGGGATGCGATGGGATGGAGTGGAACGAGAAGTAGCTTGTTGAACAAACAGTGTCACTCTCTTCCTCTCCCCTCTCTCAATCTCTCACTCTCTGTCTCCCCTCCCTAAGGCACGCACAGCTCTTTGAGTTTCTTCAGATTGGCAAAGCTGGCCGGCAAGGCCCCTCCCACGCCGTCCTCCCCCGTTCCAGCCAGGTTGCTGCCAGGCCGCATGGGAGGGAGGAGGGGCGGAGATGGGGGGGGAGGGATGCGGGAGATGGGGGGAGAAGGGGAGAGAAGCAGTGAGAATACCTCATCGGGCTTGCTTGACGGCTACACGAGAGTTTTGAGGGGATATACTGGTATTGCGGACGGAAAGAATCCGTTGTGCTGATCTGTCAGTGGAGATGGGGACGCTTATAGCGAGGATGTTGACAAGGATGGTTAAAACGAGTCAAGGATGCGTATAACGAGCCGATGTTGCTTACAGGAAGACGAGCTTGACAAGGTTGCCGAGGCTGGCTGGCACAGCACCCTCTAGCGGGTTACCACCAATGCTCCTGTAGTTCGGGAAACACAGTCGGAACCAGGGGGAGGATGGTCGAAAGTGAGTTAGGGCAAAGGAGGAAAAGGCAATGGTGCAGAAGTATAAGAACAGGATTGATTTCTTCTGAGGGGTTTGAGGGATTGTGAAGGGCTTGAAGGATTCTGGATTTTCTGCCACTACATGGAAACTGTTTAGAAAGCCAGCATGGGATGGCATGGCAGGGCATGGCATGGCACGGCATGGCAGGGCATGGCATGGCACGGCATGGCATGGCATGGCATGGCATGGAATAACATGGCACGTCATCGCTCGTTGACTGACAGGTATGTGAGGGCAGTGAGTTGGCCTAGGAAGGCCGGAATGCGCCCCTTGATCCAACAGTCGTACACATTGCTGTGGGCGGGGCGGGAGCGGAGGAAACAGAATTAAGAGCAAGGCAGAGAGGGGAGAGGGAAGAGGCAGGAGCAAGGCGAGAAGGTGTCCAAAGGAGAGGAGCAGCAACCAATGCAATGACTTTTGAGGCGCCTCAAAAAGAGTTTTGAGGCACCTCAAAAGAGGCAGGAGCAAGGCGAGAGAGGTGTTCAAAGGAGAAGAGCAGCAACCACTGCAATGTAATGTACAGCGCTAGTGGCAGCCCGTCTTCCTTCCAGCCGCACACCACTGCACAGCACCGCTCAGAACCGACGCGCTGCCAGCTGGCGAACTCAAAGGTGGCTGAGCTTCTTGAGCTTGGTGAGAGACTGAGGCAACACCTTAACGCCGTTGTTGTGATATCTCAAATCGCTGCGGCCGTACAGCACTGCACAGCACCGCATTGCACCCTGGGGCACTCACAGGTGGCTGAGCTTCTTGAGCTTGGTGAACGACTGTGGCAGCTTACTAGTAACTCAAAACCTCTGCCATCCCACAGCATTGCACGGTACCACATGTTAGGGTTGGTTCGCCCAACCACGGAACCTACGGTGAAATGCGGAATGGCGGCGGAATGGAGCTCGTGGGAGATTCTAGAGTGATTTCGGTAGAAATCGGCCTACGGTGGACGTTGGAAGCTAAGGCGTGAAAAGCGGGAGAGAAATTGGGAAGAAACTAGAGAAATGGAGGAAGAAGAGTGAAGAAGTATCGAGATTGGAGTTGACAAGGGGAAATTGTGGTTCGAGACTGAGGCGTGTTCGAGAAGGTGCTGGATTCGGACTCGAGGAGTGTTCGGCGAATTCGGTTCGGTTCCGTGTGCGACTCGGGGTGAAACGAGGCGCACGCGGCTACTTGGGAAACAAGTGAAGTTACGAATCGCATTTTGTGACTTGCTTGACTATAAACCTGTTTGTACTCATTCTGGAAATACAACATTGGACAACATTGAGATTCTGAAAATTGCTGAAGTGTGTATTGACAACTTCAAGCAGAGCTGCGCATATCGTTGGATTCGTGAGATCGTGGAGAACACGATAAGCAATAGCAAGTAGACTATTGCCGACTAAGGTGTTTACGATCCTAAGAACTGGTATCAGAGCTTGGCGAACGGGCGCGTCGATCGCGGTGAATTCACTTGGTGCGCTAAGTGAAATTAGTGGAGAAGAGGAGTCGTTCACGCCTACGCCATGGGAGACGAGGCGAGTTCGGGTTCCAGTGTGAGTCTTGGAGACCCGCAGTTGAAGGCTCTTCTCGAGGCCCTTGCGAGTGGCCGATTGGTGGCGAAACCGACGATCGGGCTCAGTGAAGCCCAGCGCTTCAACGGGAGCAACTACAACGTGTGGCGGAAGAAGTTCATTCGAAGGGCAGAGGAGGTGGACCTCTTGCCGTACTACCGTCCCGACGAGGAGACGATGGAGGGAGTTGCGCCATCCCCGACGGATACGAAGGAGAAAATAGCGGCGTTCAAAAAACAAAGTAAGCAAGCGTTCTTTCAGCTTTGTCACTCAGTTGCCGATGGAATCGCGGTGGATTTGGACCAGTTTGCAGGGGAGCTGAACTCTGCACAGAAAGCGTGGGAGTACCTGGAGTCCACGTACATGGGCACGAACGATGTCAACAAGAAGGCGATTAGGAAGCAACTGCTGATGCTGAGCATGGAGAAAGGCGAGAAAATCATCACCTACATCAACAGGGCGAAAAACTACAACGACGACTTGCGGGTGATGGGAGCCGCGGAGACGGAGCACGAGATGATTGACTATATCATCCAAGGCCTTCCTAAGGAGTGGGAATCCGACATCGGTATGTTTACGTACCAACCGCCGGAGAGTTTGACGAAGCTGCAGGAGATTCTGCAATCGCTTGAGACGGTGAAGGAGATGAGGAAAAAGAAAGCGGCAGCAGCAGCTACGGATTTCGACGAGGAGAGGCCGGCTTTGGTGAATGTAACGAAGGCGTTTGGAGCGTGCTACCAGTGTGGAAAGAGGGGGCATAAGGCGATAAACTGCTACGAAAATCCGCGAAGCAGAAACTACAAGGGCAAAGCGGTGGAGAACGAGAAAGGAGAAAATGGGGGAGCGGAGTGGCAACAGAAACGAGTTTTTGGCGGAGTGGCAACAGAAACTATTGTGGGCGCTACGGGCATCGTGCCGCAGAGTGCTACTCCAATCCGAACAGCAGGAGCTACAAGGGTCCGTCGCAGCAGAGGATTGTGGCGGGTAAGGCGAATGTAGCGGAAGCCGAAAAGGAGGATGTGATTTTGGGAGGAGCGCATCGTGCGAACGTGGTGCGTTTACCGAAGGATGTTCGTCAGACGGACGGACGTGAGAAGACGGCATGGTTCATGGACAGCGGATGCACGCGTCACATGACATTCAGGTCAGATTGGATGGAGAACGTGAGGGAGTCGAGTGAGCGTTATATACTGCAAGGTAACAGTGGGAAGTTACTAGTGACAGGAGAGGGTGACGTGGTGCTGCAAAGTCCGTATGGAGAGGTGAAACTGGAGAATGTGCTCTTGGTTGAGGATTTGAAGGTGAATTTGATGAGTCAGTCACAGCTTGATGACTTGGGGTGCAAGATATTTTATGACAAAGGCGAGGTTACAGTGTTTGGTCCTGAGTGGGAGAAGTATGCCGATGGATACTTCAGTGACGGGTTCTATGAGATGAACTTGATAGCGATGAACGACAAGGATGAGATCTATGAGGATCCTGAGTCTACTGAGGTTGATGAGAGCGAGGACACGGATGATACGGGAGCGAGTGTGGAGGCAGCAGTGAAGCAGGAAGAAGAGATAGTCACCATGGAGGCAGCAGCGGTGAATGATGGAGATGGAGATGGTGTCAACACTTTTGCAGCATCGGTCGTGGTTAAAGATGAAGCAGTAAATGCGAAGTGTGTGGGAGTTGAAGCTGTGAAAGGGGGCATCATGGTGAAGGGATCAAAGTGAATGCAACTGCAAAGGGGCGTGTGCTTACGAAAGAGGAACACGTTAAGGGGTGTGAGACCCGAGAGGTGTTGGGTGTTAAGACACCGAGGAGAAGTAAGAGGCTTAAGAAAATATGTCAAGGTTTGGATGACAAGACGCTCAACTTCAAGACAAGTAAGCAGAAGTTCAAGGTGCAGGAGATGCAGGGGAGCATGAAGCCAATTTAGACCCTGTGAAGGCTACAAGGAGCAGGGGAGGAGTGCGAGTGGTGTTCGTGGTTGACGAACCACAGGGGAGATTGTTAGGGTTGGTTCGCCCAACCACGGAACCTACGGTGAAATGCGGAGTGCGGAATGGAGCTCGTGGGAGATTCTAGAGTGATTTCGGTAGAAATCGGCCTACGGTAGCCGTTGGAAGCTAAGGCGTGAAAAGCGGGAGAGAAATTGGGAAGAAACTAGAGAAATGGAGGAAGAAGAGTGAAGAAGTATCGAGATTGGAGTTGACAAGGGGAAATTGTGGTTCGAGACTGAGGCGTGTTCGAGAAGGTGCTGGATTCGGACTCGAGGAGTGTTCGGCGAATTCGGTTCGGTTCCGTGTGCGACTCGGGGTGAAACGAGGCGCACGCGGTTACTTGGGAAACAAGTGAAGTTACGAATCGCATTTTGTGACTTGCTTGACTGTAAACCTGTTTGTACTCATTCTGGAAATACAACATTGGACAACATTGAGATTCTGAAAATTGCTGAAGTGTGTATTGACAACTTCAAGCAGAGCTGCGCATATCGTTGGATTCGTGAGATCGTGGAGAACACGATAAGCAATAGCAAGTAGACTATTGCCGACTAAGGTGTTTACGATCCTAAGACCACATTGAACCGCGTAGCACCCTGAGTCACTCACAGGTGAATGAGCTTCTTGAGCTTGGTGAACGACTGCGGCAGCACCTCCACGCCGCCGTTGTAACTCAAATCGCTGCGACCACGCCGTGCAGACAGGGCAGCGGAGAAGAGTGGAGAGGAGCAGAGAAGCAGGGGAGGTGCGGAGAGAGGGGGTAGGCGTTTAGACAGGGGAATAGATGGAAGGGGCAGAACGATGATGCTTGGAAACCGCAAGAGGCGTTGTAAGAAGCATCTATTTAACAAGGAGGGTATGAGGCATTCAACTCAAGAGCTAGAAGAGGGTGGATGGGAAAGGGCGAGGCTGGGAGGGAAGGGATGAGGCGCGATGGAGTATGAGTTTGAAGGGAGGGACAAGGCTCAAGACTCGCAAGGCTCTGAAGGGATGGAAGAAAGGCGAGGCAGGATGGGAATGGCATGCGAAGGGATCGTTCAAGGCTCACAGGCATTGGAGCTGGTAGCGCGTGGATGGGAAAGGGTGAAGCGGGATGGGAGGGTTTAGGGGGGACGGGAGTGACATCTGGAGGGGCG